AGCATAATGGTCAGTGCATTCGCCCGGATAGCGAAGGATGCGGGTTCGTGTCCCGTCCGCTGCCTGGTCCGCGTGGATTTTTTTCTAGTAAACTTTTCTTTAGATTTAAACATCGAGCAGTTAAATGCTTAAATAATAAATAAAATCATAACTATAATTGCTATTTCTTCTTTCAAATGTTTAATACTTGAAAAAGTATTCATTTGACATTGTGGGTTACCTACAATGCGAAGAGATGGCGCTGCCTTGCAGCTTAAGGCTAGGAAAATTTCGACGCGGCTAATAGGGCCGTGGTAGCATAATGGTCAGTGCATTCGCCCGGATAGCGAAGGATGCGGGTTCGTGTCCCGTCCGCTGCCTGGTCCGCGTGGATTTTTTTCTAGTAAACTTTTCTTTAGATTGAAACTTCTTTTCTTAAACAATTTACTATTAGGCAGTGCATAAGGCATAGGGGAATGGAGCATCGGGGTCATATGTGTATATTCCATGAGTTAATTGGTTTGTTAATGATGCTGCTCAGCCCCCTCCCGTTTCGAGAGCACATCTGAGTGCACCCGTTGACCCGTCCTCTAGCGCATTATGCATTATTTTAAACTATGCATTGGTTTAAACTAACTAACTTCAGATGAAGCTTATAAGACCATACTGGCCATAATCATAAACTACGGGTGTGTTTTAGTCAGTAGGAGTCTGACATAACCTTGCAGCCGGCTGTAGGGTATCCATGAGGATCTCACACCCGCTCCCCCGCCTGGGAGGAAAAAAACAAAGATAGACCGATATTTCTGCCAATAACAGCCTGCAGTTACTCTGCGCTCATGGCGCTTGCAGCAATGCCGAAATATTGGAAAGTCGCAAAAAACAAGGTAGAGAATGGGATTTAGATTGGAGGGCGCAGTATTACTTTTCTACCGTATTTGTAAGGTTTTACCCCTTTTAGACATGATTATATACAAAAAACCGCAAGAAATCACAACAACAAACAAATTCGTATCAATACAAAACTTTGACGTTTTACAGATTACTGGGTTTGATTGCCAAATAAAAATCTTAATGTTATATTGTTTTAAACTTTCATGGTCACTAACATTATAGTAATATAAGTTATTTACGGGATTGTTACCATGTACCTTGATACTGTAAGTGTTGTGTGTCGAGAACAGTTTCGAGTGAATAGTGAGAATGTGAACAGTGGTACGGGTATCGAACGCAATAAAAGACTTCGTCGGAGGGTAGACCGATATGTCTGCCAATAACAGCCTACCCGCAATGACTTCAGTTACTCCGTGATCATGGCGCTTGCAACAGTGCCGAAATATCGGAAACTCGCTAAAAACAAGGTACATGGTAACAATCCCGTAAATAACTTATATTACTATAATCTTAATGTTAGTTCCGTTTTCCGCCACGCCCGTTCTCTTTCCGCATAGACTCTACATGGTAACGATCCCGTAAATAACATAAATTACTATAATGTTAGTTACCACGAAAGTTTAAAACAATATAACGTTTGGTTCAGTTGGCAACCCTTTACCCACTCAGCAATATTGTTACTTAGCTAAATTGTAATTCGTAATCGTGAGAATACACTTCATGGACTCAACATCCACTTGAGGGATACTTAACGTAATCGACTCAATTAGCATGGGACAATTACTCATTCAGTTAACAAAGACAAATAAATTGTATGGTTTTATGAAACCACAATGCATATGAATCCTTTAATATCATTAGTGAAAAATTCAAAATATCTTTATGCAAATAGGAAGCGAAATAAAACTCCTACCCATCTAGTCCTACTCCTATACATCAAGAACATTTTTTAGCTATGGAGAAAAACGGGCGAAAAAAACTATACAGCGTCAAATCTTGTAACAATATTTACAAAATGTTTATTAAACAAGTCCCTCGGCTGAGATACGTACCCGGGCTACCCACGTAGCAGGTGAGCTTTCTACCACTGAATGTCTCATTACCTATTAATACCAATCACAAATTTAACGTACATGCTAAAGATGAATGAAAAAAAAAATAGTTACGCTATAAGAGTTTCACTTTAATAAAGGAATGGAAAATATTCATAGAAATTACTAGCTGACCTTCTGACAACGAACTTCGTATCGCCATAAAAATATGGGTGATAGAAGGGTGATAGAGCTGTTATGTATTTTTAATGCCACATTATAAAAAAATAAAAAAAATAAACCAAAATCTAAAAAAATGTTAGGGGTGGACAACCCTTATCACTTAGGGGTATGAAAAATAGCATAGCATATAAAGTTTCATAAAAATCGGTCAAGCCGTTTCGGAAGAGTATGGTAACTAACATTGTGACACGAGAATTTTATATATAAGATTAATCACCTAAAACTGAAATTCGTAACTTAAAGGTATTTGGTTATATGGTTCCTCAAAGGTAATCTCCCTATTCCATCCATAGGAAAGGCCTGTGCCCCAGCAGTGGGGACATTAATAGGCTGATGATGATGACGGTTGGTAGTTGGAATAAACATAAGTTTACCCGGGTTTTACCCAAGGTTTTTGGGACATTGTCTAAATAATAATGAAACTGAGTACTAATTAGGCATTTACCCACTCATTTACTAACTCACCTTTTTTTGTTATTACGCAGCCATAACCTCTATTTACAGAAGTTGGCGCCCTTAAGGGGCACACCAACGAACGGACCTCAAACCTAGCCTCTCGCAAGTCTCACGGGTGCGAAACGGAGAAGCCGTTAAGCAGTCTTATCTTAGTCCACTGCTGGACATAGGCCTCTCCAAATGCACGCCACTCAGATCGATCTTGGGCTACTCGCATTCAGCTCCTGCCAGCCACCTTGCGCAAATCGTCACTCCATCGTGCCTGAGGACGTCCTACACTACGTTTGCCTAGACGCGGTCTCCACTCCAGAACTCGTCTACCCCAACGGTTATCGGTTCTCCGACAAATATGGCCAGCCCACTGCCACTTCAACTTGCTAATCCGGTGGGTTATGTCGATAACTCTGGTTCTCTATCGGATTACCTCATTTCTGATGCGATCCTTCAGAGAAACGCCGAGCATAGCCCTTTCCATAGCGCGCTGAGCGACTTTGAATCTGTGGACCAGCCGTACCGTCAGTGTCCACGTCTCCGTATGTCATCACAGGTAGGACGCACTGATATTACAGCATACTATCCGATAAAAAATCCTGCGAATACCCTCTACGCTGTTAAATGCGGAACCGTGAGATCCCCGTTGGGGGACTTTACCGCGAGGTATATCCAATTCTTACTGGGTACGTAATTTAAGATTATTTACTGAAATCAAAAACTAATGTCAAAGAAAACCAAGCCATTGCCAAGGTCACCACCACCACATCGAAGCACTCGTTCATGGCATCAACATCGGAGCTACTATATTCATATTTACAGACGTCATTCTTTAAACCTCCACTAAAACGCAAAATACCTATTTCAACCATAAACATATGGAAATACGTCACATTATTATTTGTGACAACAGGGCTTGTTCAAATGCGAGTGCTGATATCGATTTTGTGCCTTATCGCCTGTGAATTTAGATTTTATTTTCTATTGGGCTATAGCATAGTCTAAGCTCGTCCTTATTGTAAGTCTTCATCGCATTAACTGAAGTACAGGAAATCTCTTGATGCATTTGTTACTATATACTAGCGGACGGCGCAACTTCGTTTGCGTTAACAATTTCAAATCTTCTTAAAAATCCCTCAGGAACCCAACACTTTTCCGGGATTAAAAGTACCCTATGTCCCTTTCCAGGTTATAAGCTGTATGTGCAAATTTAAATCATCTATATCATCCAAAACCGTTCAGTCATTTTTTTCATTTATATCTGGGGTTGTAGACATGACGCCGAGCGTATCCTTTATGGTATTTTTTAAAATTTCGGTCGAATCACCTTTGCCTCACTTTAATACTAAAAATAAAAAGAGACGAAAGATGTATTTCTAATTTTCAACATCCTCACGTGGCGCCATTTGGAAATGCGTGCCATTTTCTTATTAAAAAAAGTTTAAATTTTGCTTATGTATAGGCACTGTTTTCTGGCAATGTGTTGAAAAACGTTGTATGATATTCGTGCGGAATTAATATTTACAAGTTCGTGACAATGGTAAGTCTACTTGTTTGTAATAACCAACTTACAACCACTAATATATGTATATAGACGTAACTAGTACATGACTTACCGAACATTCAATTAAGCAATCCACAACGGAATCCGTTAACACTAAAAATCCACTTTTATTAATACATACACACGTCAGCAGAAAGACTTATCGTTGATTGAATCTTTTTTTACTGCACTTTATATCAAAATGTTCGATTAGTCTGCAGGTAACCTACTAAACTTCGCTCGAACATAAGCTACTATGACACGCTCCACGCAACCACTATTTGTAATTAACGTATGACCTAATAAACATTAAAATTAGCCCGGCACGTGTTACCGGGATACGCTGTAGGAGTAAACAGTTTTATGATCACAAGCAAACGGTGTACACTATTTCTATTCCTACATTGCATTGTTACGCTACACGTCTATAAAAAAATAAATATTTCCGACACTCACACCAATTAGCCTCCAAAGTAAGCATTGTAAGGCTTGTGTTATGGGATACTAGGGTCACGGATAGAATACATATACTGTACATATATAAGTATATTTATATAGAAATACATATTGAACATCCATGACTGGAGTACAAATGCTCGTATTCATCACACAAACATCTGCCCCCACCGGGATTCGAACCCGGGACCTCTCGAGTCGGCGACACCGTAAACCCGTACAAACCACTCGGCCACAGAGGTCGTCTATGTGTCATCGCTTAAGTTTTTCTGAAAATTCTTATTAAGACTTTCGTTAATTGCAGATAGAATGACTTTAACTTATATTTTCAGACTCAATAGTCGGGATATTTCATCAATAACCATAAGTGTTCTTGTTGTTCCTAAAATTAAAAAAAGTTTACTCACCTAGGTCTTCTAGAAGGCACAAAGAATTTTAACGGGCCAGCAGACTTTCTCCTGTTTACCACTGGCACCATAAGTAAGTCTTCATCATCAGTCTCTGACACTGAACTGTCCAAATTCACTAGAGCGGGTGCGGAACCACGTCTATCGTTTACCACTTTTGGCGTTTCCAACATGTCCCTAATCACTTCACAATATTTACACGCAGACGCCTCCGCTATATACGCTTTCGTTATCGCGTAAGCGTAGTTTTCAAAGAAACACTTATGACACCCTGGAACGTAATTATTGTCGAGGTCGGTCGACTCTTCACTTGGCTCCTGCGTTTTCAGCATTATTCTTTTTTCCATAGTCGCCAGATTGTTGTCCATAATCTTCTTCTGCTCCTCTTTATGCTTCCTCTCCTCTTCCTCCAATTTTTTCCGTCTTATCTCTTTCAAGCATTCCGCCTGGTCGTTGTAATATTCGACACACGGTCTGCGCTCGCTTTTGGATGGCTTCGTCGGACTTTTCTTTTTCAACTTTTTATGACCTACGTTTACGTTTAACGGCTCTATTCTCAGAGATTTCATCTGCTTTATTATGTGCTCTTGCACATAAGGATAGCGCGACGACACCTCCTCTACGGAATTGGCAGTGTTCTGCGAATCGCTTTTGGCACTTAGATCGTTGTCTCTGTTTCTATACTTTTTATCGTGTTTACTCCTGTCTTTGATGTGATCGCTGCTATTTTTACGAGCGTTTTTTACACACTTCACTGAGGAGGAATCTTCGTCGAGGCATGTTTCGTAACCATCGACTTCGTGATCGATAAACAAAAGGGAACTGTCTTCTTGGACGGAAATTCTTGCAGTTGCATCAGATAGGGTAATTGTATCTTCGGTCGGAGAATTCAGGCATTCCTTCCAACTCTCGTCACTTTTTACCTTTTCTAATTTTGTTTTTCGGTTTTTTGGCTCATCGCACTCTTTCCAATATTTTTCAAAGCTTATCCTTTCTAGACCTGTTGGTGTGACCGCGAACACCATTTCGTCTGAGGTTGATATATCTTTACTCTGCTGTTTCGACAAGCTTCTTTCTCTTTCTATCTCTTTCCTGTCGACTGGTTTACTTAGTTCCCTGGGGGCAATGAGGACATCGTCTTCAGTTATTGTCATGTCGTCATCAGGGTCATCCAGGGAATTGGATTTAGATGACTTTTCAATGCCGTTAACTTTTTCCTGACTGCTTCTATCTTTCCTGCAGTCGTCTAGGCTGAGGTCACCGTACGCGGAGATTTCCTCATCCTTGAGAGAAGCTTCTTCGGGCTCAAGACAGATTTGTACCACTTCTAGCCCCTCGCCGTATTCCTGAAGGCACTCGTGAAAGGAATCCATCCCTGTGTGATCATCAGATGCCAGGGAGTTTATGCATTCCTGTAACAAACCGTATTATTAATTGTTCAGTTTTTAAATTATTTAGTATATTGGTAGGCACCAAGATTAATATTAATTAAAAGTTAACTTTTGTATGGTATATGAATGTTATGTTTGGGTCGATGTAACATCACAATCGCTGCGATTGTGTTTTCTGCTCAAAATATCTTAATTCTGAATTCTGGTAGATTTATTTGTGTGATGAGCACATTTTCCCTCCAAATCATGGTTGCTTATAAACATAATAAAATAGGTTTGTTTTCCGTACATTATTGAGATATTATAGTGCAAATTCGGCTGTGTGTAACTTAACATAAAAAATATATTATTTCTAATTACACATTACATATCCTGGCTCGGGGAGTAGCTGGCGAATGCATTACGCGTTACGAAAAGTGTGTTTGAGTGAGGCGAACGGAAGTTGAGTGGGAGATATAAGCAAGAGAAATCAGTGCGCACGCACATTTTCTTTCTCTCTTTCTCTTAGAGCTAGTAAATGAAATATGTATATGTACATACATGTATATATTGTACACACATCAAGGCAGACAAAGAAGTTATTTTCTCGCGCTTCTGTCTGATTTTTTAAGGCCCCGCGTGGAGCTTGGAGATAAATGTATTTAAATCATAAGAGAGGTAGGGCATAAGAATTCTACTTTATCGACAGAAATCACATCTCGTGACGCCATAAAAGACGTCATGATGTGATCAAGGACTTCAGAGATGTGAAAAGGAACTCTTCGTAGGATCATAGTAAAACAGTTGTAATAAGTAATATTGCTTTGTTACAACATATAGTCGATAGCTTACCACCAATGAGGAAAAGGATGGAGCTCTCTCCCCTGCCACTTTTGTAGATAAAATATATCGTATGAAGTATCGTTTAAACGAAAGTTTTATAAGGATTTAGTTGTTTTTGTTGCTCGGGCTTATAAAAAATTAGAAAATAATAACTTGTTTTCCTTATTTATATCATAAGTAGGTAAGTACATCAAAAGTCTAATAAACATCTGGAGTCGGTGCCACGGATGTTGATAGATCTGGCATGGCACCGACACCAAACCTTCAATTTGACTTAATTTAGTACTTAATATATTATGATATTTTTATTACTTATAACTAAAGTTGTGTTGTGTTTTGCTGTGTTGGGTAAAAACCCCCGGAGTACGGGTCCTTCTCATACTCCACTCGACCTACTGTTGTAGTTCATAATGGAGATACAAAAAGAATTGATTTTAATAAATAAGTACATTAGATGAACCTGAAGGGTCCTACAGAGTGTAGCAATTTAAAGCAGATAAACCTTTTTATACATATCGATTCATGAAAATAAAACAAAAAATCAACTTTGCCAACATTTATTTATGCAACGTAGTCATTGTTTATTAAATTATTTCACATTCAACAGGCCTTAAAGCATTGGACATCGATCTTAGACTATAAACGATATTATAATAATATTACAAACTAACATTTATAGCTCTTTATCTAAACAACGAATCACAACATTGTATATGTATACGTGTAAAGTTTACTCTTTTTAGTTTGACACTCATTTTCTTATATCCACCTAGTCTTATGCTTTTCGCGCTCCTGCGCGACGAAGCTTGTTATTAAATGCTTTAAAATTAACGTTCGAAGTAAGAATTTAGTCCTAACCTAATGATTTATCGGGCTGTGTGTCTTTAGATGCTAGACGATAGCTTGACTGACTTAGATTAAAACAAAAAGGGGAGATACGGTATGCTCATACTAGCATCAAACAAAATATGATCCGTCTCAACTACATAATTCTCACACACGCACAATTCTGTAAATAAACATTCAATCGAGCGAGCGAGACAGAATTGTACGCTTTAACGCACCGCGAGCGAAACGGCGCGAGACCGCGTCGCTTTGCAGCCGACTGCGTTATCTTTTCTCTCTCTACACACGGCTGAGTTGTATTGTTGTCCTGTTCTTAATAAAACATGGTGAATCAGTAACTAACATTCATTGCAAACCATGATTTTTGAGAAAAAGAATTGTGTGTGTCAGCTCCGACGCACGACCGGAGTTTACACTCTAAAAACGATGGTCTTTGAACAGACACAAAACAAAATCAAGTCCGAAGAAGTCAGTTACAAGTAGAGATACCTCAGGAATCGTCCCATAGTTTCGACTATCGTAGGTTCCATGTCACACATTTTATCATCTAACATCAGCGATATTCATCATATATTTTATTATGTATTTCTGGAAACACACAATTTCAAAAATATCACACACTAGTCATCATTTTGTAAATATGTATTATAATTCCATCTGTACTGAAAATCACTATTCTAGAGTGCTGGACACTTACCGGCATTTCTCTATATTCTGTTATTTATTTGTTTTCATTAATTTTGCTCCGATTTTATCTATTTTTAGTTTATTTATTTTATTGACATTTGTGACAACTTAATGTTTTTTATCCATTGCCATGGCTAAAAGTGAAAGGTGCGCACAAAAACGTAACGAGGTCATTAATGTCATTCATCGATAGATTTTACTCCTCACATTTTTCTCATACGGGCCCCTTATATATGCAAATCGATTCTTAAGGAGTAAACTCCAAAAATGTTTTTATAGTTTTACGAATGAAAAGTGTTGGCCGTAGCATTTGTTATTAAATCTTGAACTATTTGTGTTCTTTATGAAGGCATTGGTTTATCTTTATAACACAGAATATACGTAATATTGTTATTTTGAGTGCACCGTGTTTGGATCTCCAATTATGACTAAAGGGAATTGAGGTCATGCACCATAACTTAAGCGGATCACTTTTGAGCCGAGAGTGCCGCAACTTCCCCAAGCTACTATAAATGTCGGGACCCATTATTGAAAAATATTATGTATTCTTGAATATCTAATGGGTCCCGACTGTTAAAGTAGCTTTGTTCCTTATTAACAGAATTATAGACTACTGGACTTGTTTTTTTCTTTTCAGTTTTTATTTGAAGTATAATTAATGTTTAAATCTAAGTTGTCAGGCGATTGATACGCATAAGAGCAGTTGTAGAAGACGATAATTTTGTAGGTGCAGCTGAAAGAGCGTTCTTACAATGAAACTAATTCAATTTTCCAACGATAATTTTAGAGCATTTTAGCATGCATCAATAAAATCCTTTCAATCCCCAGAAAAAAGTTATATGGTTCCAACCAATTCTGATGTTAAGCATGAGTATAGTCTAGTCGCAAGAATTTCAGTCTATTCTTGCCTGCCTGAACCCAATATCCTACGAGGTTCTGGAAATCTTAAGTCGTTCCTCCATCGCCCTCTTCACCGGCACGTCAACGAGAATTAGCGACACATACTGACATTTACTATAGCCGCTTGTCCGCCACAAACCCGTCACGTCATCTTGATCTCATACAGAAATAATCTCGTGTATGCTGTTGGTCGCAGCTTACTAGCTCGCAGATGACCTTTACAGCGTCACCGGGTTTGGGGACGGCGAGATCCTAAGGGGACCTCAAGCCGAGAATTGGCGAATGCCTCTAGAGGTATTCCAGGCGGATGACATCTCCCCACGGGAGGAGTCTCCTGTCCGTCTGGTGCCTCTAGTCCACTCGAACCTAAAGGGGGCCGGCTCAACTAGGGGGCGTCTCTGAGACTCGGACCTCGGCTCTAGTTAGCCGTTGTGGTGGAGTACGATCCTGTTGTGGCGGCGACATCTACATGCCCCACATATAACATGGAGGAAAATAATCACTCGTCTCCTCAAGAGATGGCGCTGCGTTCAAAACGTATGGAAGCCTACATCGCGCAAAAGAAATTCGTGAGATAGAGGCTAACCGTCCATATATTCAATACCCGTCAAACATTAGCCGGGCTGCGGCCCCCGAGCTACCAAGCTCGGTTGAAGACCTTCCCCTTTGGCCTTCCTATGGAGTGACGGGGGTGATGGATATACGGCCTTACTACTAGGCGACGTTTTTTGGGTTATAAATAAGCCCAGCGGTGGTGTGCGCGCATTCGGTAGTGTCACAGAATAGAATTCTGTTGTGGGTAGTGTGGGCTTAATGCTAGCTCTGTCATCTGTCTTATGCCGACAAAATGAGCAACCTCAGGCTAACAGTCCAGTAAAATTATCATTACACAAACAAAGAAATTTGGTGATTCATTTCTCTGTCGTACTATTTTTAAGTGTAATTCTTTGCCCATGCACGTGTTCCCACCTTCCTACAATCTGGATTCCTTTAAAGAGTCATGAACAAGCATTTCTACAGGCCGGCAAAGTGAGGATGGTTTGTAAGGCAGTTCATAATTGCTGCACCAGCTATCTTCGCATCTGGACTTTACCACCACGTAACATCAGGTGGAGTAGACATTTGCCTATCTAAATATAAAAAAGGGCACACATTCTACTTCATTTCTAAACTTTGGTAATTTGCGCATTTTTTCCTACTATTACTTAATATTCAATGATTACTTTTGATCTGTCCTATTTAAAAAGATATTGCTTTTGCAATATTCATGTGACAAATATTTGTGAAACTTTTGCAAACGCTTTATCTAGACTAAACATTTACTCTCCTGAAATAGATCAAACAAAATGTTTTTTAAGAACTACTGTAATGTTTTTGCATATTTGAAATTATACCTATAGTCAGTTTGAATAACGTCATAGATATTTACCATTAATATGAAGTTAATTTTTAAATAATAAATAAATTGTAAAGTATTTGCTGAGACAAATATATATTAGTATACATAAATATTCATATTTTTTTTATTTATATACTTACGACCTATGATATGTTACAAAATTCCTGTAAGAGAGTGATTAAAATTTTGTATTTACCTTTACCTTTTCGCTCTACAAAATATTGAGCATTATTTTCTATGTGCTTGAATAAATAAATAACTGTTTATGAAACATCCGTTTTGTCACAATTTGTTAAAAAAATGATTTATTTTTAGAAATTGCCAATTGTCTGAAATCTGCAGTTCAGTTTTCAGATATTGTTATTTTATTGCTAAAATATTATTTATTAATTATTATTGAAAATAAACTTGTGATATTTTATTAACTTTGACAGTGAGATTATCGAATACGAAAACATCTATAAAGCATCAATTATGTTTATAACTTGTTTCATAATTCACAGACCGATTAAAAATCTTTTCCTTAAAATTCGTACAAAATAAAAAAAACTACTGTCGAATTGACATAAACATTTCAATCGTATAAATTACATCACCCGTGCTATTACAATCATTTCATTATTACAATAAATAATAACTTTATACCACAACCTTACATAATAGACTAGATTTTAATTAACCATAAATTTATAATAACTTATTAAATACAACTCTATATATAAATTCCACATCTCTAACAATTTATTTTCTAAACATAAATAGTAGGTATTTTAATTTATAATACCTATAATATACTTACGAGTATATAAGCGAAATTCAGTCGAAAATTATATGACACGATTCACTTTCATTCATTCATTTTTTCCTATTTATTATATTTTCAATTGAATTTAGGTACAAGTTTCATCTTAGTTAACTTTTTGTTTTATCAAATTAATTTACGATTACGCTTAAGATTTATTTAAGAAAAAAATATTCTATAATCGATATTCAAATAATAAAAACCATAACTACTTAATTGAAAAAATGTATCTTTTAAATTGAATTTTAACATATTTTTCAAAAAAAGAACAAGATGTGTTATCGACGTTTAGTACCTGTATAAAAATTATTAAAATATGAAAATTAATCAAAATAAGTCGTCATGGATCGGAACATGAGAAAAATTATTAACGTTCTCATTAAGTGACATAATAAAAATATACCAGAATCATATATACGAGGGTAGGAAAATTTTAAGTAATAAATAATTATCTATATTCCAAATAAATAAGACAAAAAAATCACTCGCATACCAATAAATCCACATTAATTTTTGGCAAAACTAGATATTTACGGAAACTTAGAAAATTGTACAGTATGACCATAAGGTGACTCAGATCATATAATATATCTAACTTTCCCCGAAGTATTGAATATCTAGAAGTAAAACATAGTTTCTCTGAAGATTATTATAACTTTTGTAGTTATGTACAAATTTCTAAATCACTTTTAAAATCCTAAATATAACAGAAACTCTTTCGATATCTTGACACTAAAGAAAACGTTGGTAAACTTATAGGGTAATCCTGTGTCCATGGGCAAAACTCCAAATAATTTATCGTCATATGTCACAGGAAAGCGGCAATATGACTGTTCAAAATAACAAGATTGTTGCCAGACATATGTTAAGCAAAAAATCTACCTTATTATTTTGAAATGGTAAAACAAAATAAGCTAATGGTGGATTGGAATCAAATTGGATGATTGTGCCTCAAACCTGTAACGTTACATTACAGACAAATGCTCCCAGAGGGCTTTACGCTCTTATATTTCTTGAATAAATCTTCCAATAATGCTAAATTTTCAACTCGTGACAATGTATGACTCCTTCATTAGTACAATTCCCGTTTTCGGGTACTTCAATTGTGACAGTATAGTTCAGACGGTCGCTGTGTCATTTCATCGTGATCTCTGCTTTTATCTTCGGTGGCACCCGAAATGGTAACGGAGTTTGAGTGGTTGGCTCAATATCTTGAGCGCACTGCAATTGCAACTCTAATATGTCTCTGTGAAGAGACATTATCAAACGCAGGATCTTCGTGAAGTACTCCAGTTTCTAGAAAAGAAACAAGAATTTTGTTAAGCTCATTTTAAGTTAATAGTTTTTTTTTGTAAGGAACGGCTTTATACAATTATGTGAAATAGTAGAATACCGTTTAACTGAATACAAGATAAGTAGAAAATATCTAGCAATGAAGATTATTTGATTTAAATTAGATTTGAAAGAAGAAAAAATTTGGTAAAGGATTACCTTTTCTTATACAAATATTATGAATTAGTTGAAATATTACAAATATCGTATGTAATAATCAATCCAATATGCCAATATAAAAGTAAAAAATTGTAAACATACAATCTAAAAGTGTGTGTTTGAATATTATTATTAAAAATTAATTAGTTAAACGGTATTTCACTAGTATTTAATTAAAACAAGCATGCATATTGTACACTAAAGGGACATCACTACAGAATATGATAAATTATACGAGAAAATAAATTAAATAAATACACAAATAAGTTTTTTTTCCTTAGAGCGGTAATTTTTCCCTTTATTGTACAAAAATATTTGTATTATCATAAAAGTATTTAGAAAAAAATCAGCATGCTGCATTTAAAATACTGCTCTAAGCTATAAGCTTATAAAGTCGAAATTCTAACTTACTTTGACATTTTCCCCTCAGTGTACAATAAACACAACACTTAAACATGAAATATTTTTTTATACAAAATTTACAATATTTTGAAAGCAAAACCAATTTATTTATTTTTTAAAGTTAATTGTATATTTTTGCGTTGTTTTATTATTTACATTTACGAATATATTTTTACAAAAAAAAAATTAATTTGCTATTATTCAAAAGACATCAGAAAAATAAAAAAAATACAAAAGAAGATATTTTAAAAATATTTCACTTTTAATAAATCAAAAAAGCTCTTTTTTACAACATCATAGTTTTATGTATGTTTTTTTAACTTATTTTTATATAAATGTAAACTTTTCTAGTTGCTTACCTGACTATTTTGTACACTATGACCGTTTGCTTTTTCCCCTCCAACTACTGTACTGCAAGGCAACGGTTTTGCAACACCAATGGTTACAATTCCTGAAACAAGTCAGAAAAGATCTTTTTATACATATTGCATACAGTTTATGCATTATTTTTCAGAAACTGAAGAGAATATAACAAGGTTTGATAATAGAAAAAGAAATTGCTCAACGAAATTACATTTTTCGTTATTTAATAGACTTCGCAAAATGGAACTATTGAAAAATCGTTAGGGCCCATTCATCCATCCATCCATCAGCCTGTCTCCGTCCACTGCTGGACATAGGCCTCCCCCATAGAACGCCACGCGCGGTCCTGCGCTATCCTCATCCAGCGGCTCCCAGCACATTTGACGATGTCGTCAGTCCACCTTGTTGGGGGGCGCCCCACGCTGCGTCACAACGCCATAGGGCCTAGGGCCCATTGTCACAGAAAATTTAAAGGATAATTAATTTGACAAAGAAAAAATTGATTTTAATTTATTTTAGGCTTACGTTAGGATTACGAACGACTGTACATTATTTTTCATCATAAAACAATGCAAACGTATCATCCGCACAACCAAACCGTTTCGACATCGGAAGGCAACACAGCAAGAATGTCATTTATGAAAATACTGAACGAGGTTGGGCCAAAAACCGAAAGTAGTTTCAAATTTTCACTAAAATTTATCAATAATTTATCAAAGATATGTCGGAAAAATCACGACTGCTTCAGTCAGGTGATAACTGAAATGTACTTGAGAAAACATACACATATTATATTGTGTTATTGACATAACGATACGAGAATTACGGCTGCATGCAGAAGCATGTTGATATCGAAATTATCGAATTGCAAACATTGATAACAAGACAAGGACGATATACTGTGTTACTATTGAGGTGTCATCCACAATACCTAATATGAACACTGTTTGTATTAATATTGTATGACACAGCAATCAAAATGCGAGTGGAAGTTGTATTGGTAGGGACATGATTTTTTTGTAAATATTGCTACTTCTGTTAAATGCCGATAAGTTTCTTGCGCTCAATCTTCTCATCAGCTAAAGTATGTCCCGATAGGAACAAAATTGTGTATGTCAGCTCCGACGCACGACTGGAGTTTACACTCTAAAAACGATTGTCTTTGAACAGACACAAAACAAAATCAAGTCCGAAGAAGTCGGTTACAAGTAGAGATACCTCAGGAATCGTCCCATGGTTTCGACTATCATAGGTTCCGTGTCACCTCTGTGAAGTTAGCCCCCCACTTTTTGAATTTTATTATTATCTAAGTTGTTCTGGGTTGTTCTATGTTTGTTCTACATTGTTCCAAAGTATTATTTGAAAAAACTAAAATTTGAAGCTGCCAGACAAGAAAAACCGTTTTTCTATGGTAGCCCCCCATGTTTGGAAATTCAATATTTTTTTAGTTGTTCCAAGTTGTTCTAGTTGTTCCGAACATTGTTCCAAAGTATTATTTGAAAATATTCAAATTTGAAGCTACCAGACAAAAAAGACGTTTTTATGGTAGCCCCCCATGTTTGGAAATTCAATATTTTTTTAGTTGTTCCAAGTTGTTCTAATTGTTCCGAACATTGTTCCAAAGTATTATTTGAAAATATTCAAATTTGAAGCTGCCAGACAAAAAAAACGTTTTTATGGTAGCCCCCCATGTTTGGAAATTCAATATTTTTTTAGTTGTTCCAAGTTGTTCTAGTTGTTCCGAACATTGTTCCAAAGTATTATTTGAAAATATTCAAATTTGAAGCTGCCAGACAAAAAAAACGTTTTTATGGTAGCCCCCCATGTTTGGAAATTCAATATTTTTTTAGTTGTTCCAAGTTGTTCTAGTTGTTCCTAACATTGTTCCAAAGTATTATTTGAAAAAACTCAAATTTGAAGCTGTCAGGCAAAAAAAACCGTTTTTGAGATAGCCCCCCATGTTTGGAAATTCGTTATTTTGAAATTTGTTCCAAGTTGTTCTAGTTGTTCCTAACATTGTTCCAAAGTATTATTTGAAAAAACTCAAATTTGAAGCTGTCAGAAAAAAAAAACCGTTTTTCAGATAGCCCCCCATGTTTGGAAATTCGTTATTTTGAAAGTTGTTCCAAGTTGTTCTAGTTGTTCCTAACATTGTTCCAAAGTATTATTTGAAAAAACTCAAATTTGAAGCTGTCAGGCAAAAAAAAACCGTTTTTGAGATAGCCCCCCATGTTTGGAAATTCATTATTTTTTTAGTTGTTCCAAGTTGTTCTAGTTGTTCCTAACATTGTTCCAAACTATTATTTGAAAAAAATATTATTTGAAGCTGTAAGACAAAAAAAACTTTTATTTATAAAATAAAATCAATCGCACCTACCAGAGACAATAAATATATCAAAAATCAATTTAAACAATGACGATTATACTACAACAGTACAACCGTGGGCTATATCGTTCCAATTTCATTTAATCATTTTGAATTAAATTAATAGAAAAGAAAACATTAGAATGTAGGGTAAACTCCCTAATTATTGGCACTTTAAGAGTAGGTAGCTGACATTAAATTACAATAAAATTGGTAAGTAGATGGGGGATACCATAAAAAACAAAAGTGACATAGTGCCAACTTGCGCTTTTGCCCTGAGGGTAGATACCACCCCTGCTCGGGGGTGAAAATTATTTTAATAAAAATAACTCCAGGAATCGATAGAAAGACAAATTCTAAGTAAAATTTGTTATATTAAGTTTTCGGAATAAATCAATACTTTCTTTCTGAGTTATTAAAGATAAAATATTGTGATTTTGCGTTATAAAAATACATGTTTAAGCGGTTTTTCATAAATAACTCAAAAACTATGAGCTTTACAAAAAAATGTTAGTACCAAAATTGAAGCTAATAAAAAAACAAACAAACGCCTACTTTGAAAAACCTTCTAATTTCAATTCAAAGTGAGCTATAGGTAATTGTATGTACATATTTTTTTTCGGCAAGTACTTAAATCTAAGCATTCAAACCTAACAAACGGGAAACGGACATGATAACGGACTCGTATTAAATGACAGTAAAACGAAAGTTATGTATATTAGCACTAGTCAAAATAAAAAAGAAACTCCTATAGTACTCGTATCACATAATCATAATTGCTTGCATACCAATAACTTTAACACTAATTGCTGTTGCGACGCACTGAAAGTTGTAAAAAATCAAACTTACCTCGGGCTAATCATTGACGATCGGTTGACATGGGCCGATCATATTCAACACGTATGTGATAAATTACGAGCACTTCTTGCAAAGTTTTCTATACTTAAACATAAAATTCCTTATCCTATATTGTTACATTTATATAAATCACTGGGGGAATCGATAATTTCTTATGGACTGAGTAGTTATGGACGTACTGCGAAATCACATTTACATCGCATCTATGAACTTCAAATGCGCATTTTAAAAACCATTGTCCCTCGTAAAGTGAGGGAGAAATATAAAAACAATTATCACGTATTGTTCTCTTATTGCTCATTGATGCCGGATCAGGAGAAATTTAAATATAACATCTTAACAGAACAATTCTTCAATACTGATATTCAAAAGGTTTCATCTCATAGTAAGTTAACTCGAGGCGTTGCAAATAATAAATTATTAATTCCAAAATCAAATAACCTATATGGGCAACGAACATTACAATTCATTGTTCCAAATTTAGTAAATAAGTTACCATTTGAAATAAAAAACGCACTAAATAAAGGAAACATACAACGCACATTAAAAAGTCACTTTATCAATAAATTAAAAATAATTCATTTAAAATAACCGTTACAACGAACCTAAAATAAAAACATTAAAAAAAGTCATATTTATCATTACAATTGGAGCATCCTTTATCTACGATAACTGCATTTCGACTTGTATGCTTAGCTAGTTAAAAAAAAACTTACCCAACCGGTATAGGTTCGTGCGAGTGCAAATTAATTGTCATGCCAATGTTTGCTATTTTCAACATACCCACTTATTTTATAAAATATTGTTATGTAATGATAGTTACTACAGTGTGACAACCTATATTTATTTATTGTAACTAGATGTAAAGCGGTGAATGTAGTGCACGAATAAACCTTTCTGGTTTTTGTTTGCACTATAATATGTATTATAATTGTAATATTGCTTGATTAAATAAATTAAATAAAAAAAAAATAGCTCACTTTGAATTCATATAAGAAGGTTTTTCAAAGAAGGGGTTTGTTTTTTTTTTATTAGCTTCAATTTTGGTAATAATTAGACTTGCAACGAATAGTATATTCGGCAGTATACCGAATATTCGGCGAGGCCCCTGACTGAATAGCTGAATATTAGGCAAAAGTATCCGGCTGGATTTTAGCGCCAAAAACTTGTACAAACGTGATTGTTTCGCGCCCCTTTGTTTGCAGTGCAATTCAGTCAAACGCAGTTTCAACAGAAATTGATCTTTTCTTAAATATTAGTAATATATCACGTTATGACAACCCATATACATGGTGGCAGCAAGGAAAATTAAATTTCCGTGTTTGATTAAGATTGCAGCAAAATATTTGTCGGCGCCAGGAAGTAGTGTTTATTCAGAGCGCTTTACTCTGAAGCTGGGATGGTGTTCGAGAAAAAAAGAATTTCTACTACTTCCTAAAAATGCAGAAAATTTAGTCTTTCTGCACCATAACCTTCCCCTTCTAAATTTTGATTATGAAAATAATACAAATGAATAGAAAAATTCTTAACTTGTTTAATACAAAAATGATGAAATTATGTACCTGTTTTATGTACCCATGACTACTTAATAAATTATTATAAAATAAATGAGAACCTTACCCTTTTAAATTTTGATTACCACAATAATTCAAATACATAGAATCCTCCATTTTTCCAATTCAGAAGATGATTATGTACCAATGACTACTTTAATGATTATATATAACAGAAATGAAAATATGAATATATACCTACGTAATCAATCGATATTAATTTTCATTTTACCAATTATTTCTCTATGACAAAATATATTATTTAAGTATTCGGTATTCGGCCGAATAATATGTAGGTATTCGGTATTCGGCCGAATATAATAAAAGCAGCCGAATAGGCCGAATACCGAATAGTAACCGAATATTCGTTGCGTCTAGTAATAATATATTTTTCGTTTATGAGATATTTATGAAAAACCGCTTAAATCATGAATTTTTTGACGCAAAATCACAATCTTTGATCATTATTAACTCAGAAAGTATTGATTTATTTCGAAAACTTAATATAACAACTTTTGCTTAGAATTTGTCTTCCTATCGATTCCTGGAGTTATTTTTATTAAAATAATTTTTACCCCCGAGAAGAGGTGGTATCTACCCCTAGGGAAAAAGCGCAAGTTGGCACTATGTCACTTTTGTTTCATATGGTATCCCCCACCTCATCACCATTTTTCATGAAAATCGATGGAGGTTCATCGAAATCGGAGGTTTTAGCTGATTTTTGCCTTCATTGACTGTACTATTATGAAAACAAATATTGAACTATATTTCCTTGATACTGTTACATGTGTTGTGTACTAACTCATTTAGATGTGATTATGGTAATTTAATGTCTGACTGACATGGAACCTACTCTTAAAGTGCCAACAATTAGGGAGTTTACCCTATAGTGTAATGTTTTCTTGTCTTATAACTATTAATTTTATTCAAAATGATTAAATGAAATTGGAACGATATAGCCCACGGTTGTACTGATACGATCGTCATTGTTTAAAATTATTGTTGATTTATTTATTGTC